TTGCTGAGCAACTATCCTTAATTAAGAAATGCCAAATGACCAACTGCTACTCAAGAAACGAATACTACTACATCCTAGCACTTCCTAAATATGATTCTTTGCTACTGGTATGGCGCTACGACATTCAGCGTCGACTCTTGCGCAGTACTTTTTTTTCATGTATGTAGGGGAGAAGGGGCGAAGGGGGAAAGAGCGACGGCAAGGGCGGTTTTATTGTATCATGCGCCCGGGTGGAATCTTAACCTCCGGCATGCACGATTATCATAAATTTTGCACGAAGGAAAACAAGGAAATTCCGGTGACCGGTTGCTCATTAACACAAATTTTACAATGTCGAGAGAAAAGGACTGATTCCAATACCAATATCAATCTGAACAATACTGACCCGACAAATACAGTAGTGGTATTAGGAGAAAACGAAGATCGATGATATAATGCCAATTGCCTGAAGAGCAAACTAGAACAGCAAACATAAAGGCAGCATAAGAAATAAATGAAAAATACTTTGCCAGGCAACGTGGTACCAGTAAGCGTAGATGAAGTGGAATGGAATAAATCAAAAATAATTGAAGACTTGGATGTCTGCCCAACATTTGGTTGTCAGGCGATATATTCGTCGGCAAATATTGATTGTCAAGTACAGCGCGGAATTAGAATACAGAGCCGCCGATTACAACAGGGACAGAATCTAGTAGATGAATGAGTCGGAGTTTTCTTCGGATGATCGCCAGGCCTTGCTTGGTTATTCGCCGGGGCACAATTCTTCCCCGGCCCATTGCTCAAACCTCTTTCGAACGAATAGTAGGCCACAACCCTCTCCTCGAACCGTGGCTCAAGCCTCCTCTTCCTTGAGCAGTAACTGCAGGCCTTACTACGAGCAGAAGTGGCGAGACTTCCTCGGCCGATAACGGCGAGACCTCCTTTCTGGGCAAGTAACCGCAAGGCAACAGCAGCGGGCCTTCGGGCGGTAGCGTTGGATCCTCCTTGGACGATAGCGATGCGCCATCTTGGGGAGCAGAAGATGGGACCAGTCGTCTCATATCCAGTTCACCAAAACGAATGAAAAGGAGAAAGGCAAGGGGAAGAGGAGAGAGAGGTAAGATCCTGGCCCCATTCTCCCCCTCCCCCCGCCTAGAATGTTACATTAGCAACACAATGACAAACACCAAGTAGATGGCCAGCGGTAGAGATATGCTGGCCGGTACAAGCCAAGACAATTTTCATATAAACTGAAAGAAACAATTTAAAATGCACCACAATTGTGGAAGAATATCCTTCCACAATTTTCTTTCAAATTTTTAGTTTCTACTTTTTCTTGATGTCTCGCGGTAAAAAAGGAATGCTTCCGCTCATCAATTCATGTACATCTGTTACCAGTACAACTAGACCTCGTCAGCAAGACACTTGTAGAGGACTAACTTTCCTGGAGAAAATAC